TATTAGACGCTACAAGGAAAAGATTTATATAGAAAGAGTCTAACGTTCTAGTCTATATGTGTATCCATTATATTATATATACGTTTAATGTACTACCTAACTTAGAATGCCCACTGCTTGAGCCACTTGTCTACAACAAGTCGATCTATAGCCTTTCCCTCGCGTAAGGTAGAGCTAGCAGCCTCGGCTCTGCGTGTTTGTAGCGTAGGCAGTCCCATACCGTCCATCCCAAGACTTTCGTAGAAGTCCAGCAGCTTGAGTCCTGGTACACGTTCTGCGTTCTCCTTTGTTTGCGGTATGCGTGCCAGCTCGTCAACCCAGTCGCAGTACTCGACGACGTCCATGTCCACGTTGTTTTCTTTCCTGAAGTAGTCTCGGATGACAGGGTACAACTCATTCCATGTCGTTGTATGCGGATTGGCAAGGTGGTAGACCTGCGTAGACTCGGACTCGGAGTTCGTCGCATTGGCTATGTCAATGACCGTTCCTGCCGCAATGTCCATGGGAACCCAATCGACACGGTCCATGTTGCCCAAGGTACGCGGCAGCTTCTTCATCACCTTGCTTGTGTGCACGATAGTCGGCAGCCACTCGTGTCGGTTCCACGCGGCGCCACCTGCTTGCGTGCTTGGCCCGGCAAGTTGTCCAGCGCGCACAATGGCAGTCTTGATACCCAGACGATGAGACGCAGTGGCCAATATCTCTGCTGCGACATGCTTCGACTCGCCATAGCCTTGTGGTAGAGTTATTGTGCTGTCGAACAGCGTTGTATTGGATTCGGGAACACCAGAGTCATCTTGTGCGACGCTGCCCCAGCTGCCGACGCTCGCTATCGATGAGATGAAGATGATTGGGGTTTTGTACTGTGATTCAAGCGCAAAGTTGATGGCACGAGCAGTGCCGGCTATATGTGTGTTTTCGTACGACTCGAGTGAGAGGTTGAAGTCGACTGACCAAGCAGAGTGGATAAACGTAGTGGCGGTCAAAAGGAGATGCTTGTACGTGGCGTCTTGAAGGCCGAAATGATCAACACCAAAGTCTGTCTTGTAAAACACAGCCTTGTTGAAGTCAGCCATCGGGTGGTGATACTTGGTGAAAGACTCTTTCTGTCGTGTCTCGGCGTTGTCCGAACGGTTCAGGCAGTAAACTTTCTCAACATCTGGGTTTCGAAGCAGCTGCTCTAGAATGTGACTTCCAAGACTTCCTGTAGATCCTGTAAGGATGACAGTCTGTTTGGTAGGACGATTCGGTAGACCGTTCATGTTCTTCGGGCGTACCATGGTCCTGGTGTACTTCCTCACCATAGCACTGAGCTTCTCCTCTCGTGTCGGTGGCGGAGCATGCTGCACATTGGACTTGCTCGCGCTGTGCGACAGCGCCGCCGCTAACTGCTTGACGGTAGGGTTGCTGTAGACTGTCGAAGCGGTTACGCCAGCGCCACGAACAGCCTTATTGAGCGCATTAGTGAGAGCAAGAACATCAAGCGAATCAACACCAAGGCTGAAAACATCGACATCATCGGGCGTGTCGTTCTGGAAGGAGGGAAGAGCACGTGAGAACACCGCGTGGATCTTGCTTTCTAGTGCGACATCGCCATCAGCCTCCTGGTTGGGATCGCTGGAATACCCTTCATCAGCGTAAAGAGCTTCGATCTCGTCCTTGAACGCTGCAACAGTCTGAAGTCGAATGATAGAACCCTTTGCAGCGCGGATGAACGACTTCCCATCTTTCGCAACGGCGATCTTAGTCTGATAGATACGTGCATGAGCAGGTGCTTCGCGGTTTGCTTGCTCGACCATCGGCCAAATGTGATCGATCAATGTGGAAGGGTCTTGTGTGTTGGCCTGTGACCATTCTGGTTCTATGAGAAGACCAGCTTGGAATTTGCCCTGGCCGACAACGAGGGCACCCTTGACCCAAGGATGTGATTCGAGCAGCTTCTCCGACAGCACAGGGTTGAACTTCTCTCCGTTGCTCAGCACGATGATGTCATCTCGTCGCCCAGTGTACTTCCACAGATAAGGTTTTGACGGATGGCGTCTGAAAAGATCTTTGGTACGCCATTCTTGTATCGTGGGGAATGTATGGAAGATCGCCTGGTACTTCGTGTCTCTCGGTTTGATGATCAGCTCGAACAGGTCGTTCTCCGCAGGCTCCATAAAGACACCAGCGGCGGAGCTCCAATGAAAGTAGCTCCACTCTTCTGGTACGGATGGGACGATTGTAGGTATCAGCAAAGCTTCTGTGCTACCGATGACAGTCATTAAGTTCGTCACCCGACAAATTTTGTTGCCACTTTCTGAAGCAAGAGGCGCACCACCGAAGAAGACGGTCTCCAACATTCCCAGTGCTTCGATGCCCTGAGGTGTTGCTGAAATGTCCTCCAGGACAGATGGCGGAAAGATACCGGATGTAGGCTTCACGGCCTCGATCACATCCATGACCAAGCCCGCACTCAACATCTTTTCTGATGGCAGTCGGACTAACGTGCCCCGGTTCATAAGGGAACGCAGACCGACGATGATACCCATTGCATGGAAGAAGGGCACAGCGGCAAGCATTGGTCGTGTGTCTGCTAGGAACGGCTTGCTGACTTGTTCGACACCGTCTTCCGGCCCGAGTTGGGCTTGCTCGTACGCAGAGTTGAGGCCACCAACGGTCAAGTGGATTGGTTTGGGAAGACCTGTATTTCCCGTCAGTAAGAAGGATCGGTGTTGATGTTGGCAGTATCTCGTGGTAATTCTATACATACCTGTTGAACCTGAAGTGTGTAAAATCAAGCTGGGAGCCGTCACATCGCGACTATGTCTTCCCTTGTAGTGCTCGGCAGGAAGACTTGAATCAAGCAGCTCTGCCGTAGCGGGCGCTTGATAGACTTGTAGACTGGGTACTGCATCTTTAATAACCTCGACCTGCGGCATGGTCTCTACTGTGCTCAAGAAGATGGTACATGCTGTCTTCTCCACGAGTGATTTCTGTCCCTCGAGTGAGTTGCGCGGTGATGTGAATAATGGTACATAGCCTGTCTTCAAGGCTGCAGCTAGCACCACGAGGTATCTCAGGTCGTTCGCACTATTCCGGTCAGTCAGCATGTAACGTCAGAACATCATGATCTAGAAATATTGGCAACTCACCCCATATATCCGATAGTTTGGCCTGCTTGTTTCGCAACACCACATTTCTTATCAATCCAACGAGACATGTTATTTACGGCGCGGGCAAAATCCGCATACGTGAAATGATGCCATCCTTCGTCGAGACTGGTGGTTGAGCGTGGGACAATAGCCCAAGTCGAATTAGAGGCGGACTCGGCTGCAGCGTCGATGTAGTCAGGTATCGCTGTTGCTTGTTGCTTTTGCTTTTGTGTAGCTGCCATGTTGAGCAGAGCGCTTTACGGACTAGAAGTTGGTATAGTGTGTGGATACGAAAATTGCTTTTGGAAGTGGGCTTGAGAAATGCTGATGAGTATAAGATGCTGTGAAGTGCTCGGGTAGGCGTCGATTGGTGAATTAATTTCTTGAGGTCCTTTGGCGACTCCAGTGACTGGTTGTAAGAGTTGAAGGCTATGCAGTGATCTGATTGTGATATCGTTTACTGGAGGGAAACGGCCTTCATATATCACGATCGGAGGTAACGCGTAAAATTGAACGGGTGCGCCAGCGCAGACCTCAACCCTATAGAATGCCGTCATGTTTCGTCGGAAGAGCGTACCATCGCCATGCCGATTCTTCTCCGAAGAACTTCGGTGGAGCATGAGGCATAAAAGTTGCGCAATGTGCTACAGTGGGCCAACTCGTACGAATCAACAGAGACAGCATAGCTGCTTCGTGTAAGTTGAACAATGTCAATTTGATTCTGATGCTTGTGAAAGCTTCGCTGTCCGCGTAACTTAGAGCGCGTCATTACGCTGGAATAACGTCAGTTCTAGTGTTGAAAGTTGTGGTGTATGGATGACGCAGCCAAGCACATCCCTGTGCACATCACCTCGGCCGAGCGACATTTCTGGTTCTGGAAGCTGACCATTTTATATCCAACAATCGCAGCACCCACTAAAAGCAAGCGACAGATACACAAGCCTTGACAGGCGCGGCCCGCTCGGCGCCACGAAGCTTGGTTCGGGTCTTGAAGGGAACGAGGCTGGTTCTGCTTTGTTGTCCTTCAGCATAGCGGTGTGCTGCCAACGCTTACAGTGTCCTACCCGACCATTTGAGTGGATGCGCGATTACATTTGCCACAATTTACAAGGTGATTACTGATATCAAGTAGGAAGGGTCAGGTGTATTACGACGCAGTATCAAAGTACACGGGTATCAAATATCGCCTTAAACACAGCATTCTCTATCACATTACGCGGCTGATGGCGCGACCCTTGGCGTTTCCTTCTCCTTCTCTTTTAATCTCTGAGAACCTTTCCTTCGTCTCCGCTCCGGCTTGTAAACATCGTTGAAGTTTATATTAACAGCCAGCATCTTTAGTTCACCGTCAGGCGAGTGTACAAGATCACCCAGCAAGATGCTGATTCTGGCTCGGAAGTCTTCCGTCAACTGACTCAGACGCTTTTGTAATGCTGGCAAGACATCGTCCTCGGCCGAGCCTGTCATACCGATCTTGAGCAGAGGTGGTGGGAAAGGCGATTCATCCTGTCGAGATGCTGCGCGCGAATGCGATCGAGAGAAAGGGTCTGCAGACGAGCTGTCCTTCTCAGACAGACCCCAGCGACCTGCTGCTGTGCGGGTCTCGATCTTGGCCGCATGCTCCTGTCGGCGGGTAAATTCAGCGACTGAGAAGGAGTACAAGCCGTCTACTGCATCTTTATATGCCAACATCGTCTTCAATAGCTCGTGCAGCTGACCAGTAAAGTCGATGCTTGAGCTTCCAAGGAGACCTTTCCGCGTGATGTTATTGAGGTAGATGGCATGAGCTTCGATCATGTCGTCCAATGTGCTTTCCGGCTTGTTCAACGCTCCCTGAAGATCGATCCACGATGATTCAATGACCTCGAAGAGAATGTAGTGCTGCAACTGATTGACGAAATGAACCATCTCAGCCATTGCACAGCGCGCTTTCTTCCAATCTGATCCGACTTTATCAGCTACAGTACCGAGAACGCCGCGAGCACCAGTCATGCACCGACGCCATGTTGAACCAAGAGCAAACTCGACACGCTTAACACGCCAGAGAAAGTTGAAGACTTTGAGGTATTGCTTGGAGCCAAACGGTGTGACGATGACATCAACGGGTGCATCGATCTTATATTCGAGGGTGAAGACATCCCATCCAATCTCTCCGTGCGACAGCTCCAGCATGCGTGAGTCGAGGCGGCGTAGTACATCGGAAGTATCAAATTGGGCGTTCGAGTTTCTGACAGCGTGCTCGAGCTGAGCAGTGAGGGTGTGCCGGTATTGTGTGTTGGCTGGTCGGTCAAGGTTGGATGACAGCGACTCCATCAGGACAGCGATGAAGTCGCCGGCGCCCAGTAGCATATACTGCTTCAGAGCCTGGAGATGATCAAAAAGCTTGAACTTGTTCGCCATCAGGTCGATTAGGCGGGCCATTGTGGTCTTGTAGGCATCGCCAATGGAGCGTTCGAGATTGGCTGTATCGCCATACTGTAGTTCCTTTGAGGCTTCCTTGGAGTATTTGTCAACCCACGCTGCATCTCCGCAACCATAGCGAATGAAGTTGAGAGTCTTGCCGATTAAGAAGACCTTCTTGGCGAAGTCGTCGGTTACGATTGTAGGGACCATCTTGTCGTTCAGTCTGTACTTGTCTTCCCAGACGCTCGTAGCACCTCCTTTCCCCTCGTTCCCATTGGCCTCGAGAATGTCATCCTCGCTCTGTTCAGAGACGAAGAACTCACCAAAGGGATCAGCAAGCTCGCCGTCGTAGACCCATTGGCGGAGCATATCGTAGAAGGGTCGAGTGACGTCCGAGAGGAGGCGCTCGGCGAAGCTCATAACGTACGGATCGCCGTGGTTGAGAGAGAAGGAATGAATGAGGGCTATTAGCTCGCCGCCCTTCTTGCTCTTCGATTCTTCCACCATCAAGCTCATCAGTCGCAAGCCCATGGTCGGTTCTCTTATCCAGATGACACATCGCTTGAGAGTGACACCGGCCTTGCTGACACCCTGTTGCGTTGGTGCGTCGCTCATTTGTGCTAGCGCTCTCTTGATTTGTCCCTCCAAGGTTGCAACAAGCCCCAAGTATGCTCTCAGCTCCTTGGCCAGAGCCGCGCGGAAGCTTTGCTCAATGAGACCGCCATCGTTTGCCTCGACGAATTCCGCTAGGCCTTTGTATAGTATGGCAGGCTCAGCAAGGGTATGCAACAGGCTGACAATGGGCACCGGGAGGGTCGGAGGGAGCTTGAGCGCTGTCGATAGAGGGAAGGTGAGGTTCGTGGACGAGTAGCCTTGGAGCGTGAAGGGTAGCTCTCTCAACAGGATCGGTTCTGAGGGTCCCGTCTCTGCCTTTTCTACGTAGCCTCCATTCGCCTGTTGCTGGTCCTTGGCGGTGTCGGGGCGCCTCTCTCTTCGCTTCTCTGGCTTCTCGACCATTGACGATGGGCGGGTGGATGTAGAAGCTTTGGGCGAGCCGGCGTTGACGGGCAGTTGGGTCAGGCCGGGCTTTGCAAAGGCATCTTGGAAGGCATGTGACGAGGCAGCGACGCTCTGGCGTTTGGAAGGCGTCGTGGGTTCGCGGGAGAAGCCATGCGGATCTTGGACAGGTCGTGGTTCTTGGGAAGCTTCGGCGTTGGGGGACAGGTTGTAGAGAAAGTACAGCATGCGCCATTTCTGGTCCAAGACGGTCTGCGTCTCTAGGCGTGCGAGGAGGTTGTGTAGACGGGCGCTCTTGCGCTGGTCGTTGAGAGGACCCGAGACTGTCGCGCATTAGCTGACAATGGTGCACACCTCAACATGCCCACATACCCTTGCGGTCAATCAGGCTTGCAATGTGCTGCACATCAGGCACGAGTGAAGCATCTCCCGCCTCCGTCAGCGCGTCGATGGCAAAGTCGTAAGCGTCCTCGAAGCGCTGATTTGCCGCTTCTTCGTCGTCATTGGCATCTTCTGGCACGATGCGGACCAGCAGCTCGTTCAACGCGTGTTCGACGCGCTCGCGGTGGAGTGTTGCCATGTTGGCGCGCTGTTTATTCACGAATCCATTGGTGTTGACATCGGCGGGGTTGACGCCCGTGCGCGCCGCCCAGCAGCCAACGCGTCACTGAACCCGCAGCCAAAATTAGGTGTAGCTATAGTTCGTATTGCGATTTACTGCATACACGCTTTGAAATATTGACAAGTTAAAAATCCTCAGAATTATTTCGAAACCGCCCCATGCACAAAAGTATCTTCGTACCTAGGTAGGATGGACACAAATCATGGCCACCCTTGGTGTCAACGCGCCACTCGGGACTTACACATGCGAACCAGTTGTCGGTATAGGTTTGTAACGAGTAAAGGATAAGCTCACTAATGACCGGTTATCACTAGACCTGAAATGCCGTGTGGATTCACTACGAACAACTGTATGGTGATTCACTTGGCCGTCAGGCTCAGTGTGTGTAGCTTTCTTTTGGGGCCGTACACGCGGGTTTGCCTCATGCTTTGTGATAACGATGACTTTAATATCTCCCTGGCCCTCGGCGTTCATGAGTGCCAGCTTGTCCTCGTGCCCAAAAGCCTTCAATATGCTCTCCAATCTTCACACCCCTTCAGTCTTGTGATGCCCTTCACGAGCTTCCTACCTAGATATGTAGCTTTATTTCGTGGTCCTGTTCCCTACTAGGCTCAGCTACAGCAGCATGCCATCATAACGTAGCCTTGCAAGACCGTTGCTCCGTTCGTACATGCCATGGAGTCTACTGAATAAAGCTATGCTCATGCTCATCTCTCCAGACCTTTTCGAGCGTATCGAAGGGCCGTCACTTCTTCGACAAAGTGTGGGGACGACGGTGGACGGGACTGTCTGTGAGGCAATTCGCGCAAGAGACTGCTTCTAAGCCTGAGGTTCACAGATGTATGACGTCGTAGATCTCGTCCGATGGAGATAAGCAGACTGATGAATCCGTCATCAGTTATCGTGTGCTGTTCGTGACTGGTGGATGTCTGCCTAGGGAGGCTCGATGATTGCGTCTGACGTCTCTGTGCCATCACTAGAAAACTACCTCCTGTTACAATCATCAGACATGTTGTATAGATCAGCTAGCTCTGAACGTATGTTCCCTTTTACCTGGTTGGCACCGCAAAAGGCACTTTGCAAGGGCTTAGTCCACGCCGGTCGACGCACATTGCTTGTACAGACGGATATGAGTACCTACTATAGCGCTCAGAGAGGGGTTTTAGTCACGTAGATGTCGCTATATTACACTAAAATAGTGTTACAGTAATGTTAACAGAGTGTCTGTGTAGTGTTAATAAGCTAACGCAGTGTCTGCGCGCTGTTTAACGTTAAGATAGCAACATCTACGTAATTAAAACCCACCTCTAGACCGTATAATAGGTACTGGCAGATATGTTAGATGCTGTTTCAGC